AGTGCAGATAAAGCTGATTCGTCTCGATTTGCTCACTAAAAATATTTAACCGTCTCAGGCTCAAAATAAGTTTTGATAAAAGGACGAACAGCTAAGTCCTTCAGGGGTGCTTCTGAGTTAAAAAATGCTCGTGACGTACGTATGTGGAGTAAGCAGGTAGGTAGGTGCAAATCTGCAGCGCCTACCTCCAGAGGGTTAATGAGATTTCAGGCAACAGGACCATGACACGTAGGCAAACACTAGCCACTTTATTAGATACACCTGTACTGGTATCAGGTTGGACCCACTTTCAGCCTCAGAACCACTTGAATTATTCGTATCAGAGATCCAAGCTGTTGTAAATGTTAATCAGAGGTTCTGGTCCATCCTGACAGCGTCAGCTGCCTCAATGATGAGAACCTCCCATCCCACCACATCCCAAAGGTTCTGGACTGTGGAGGCCACTGGAGTCCAGCAAACCCATGATCACGTTCTAGAAACGAGTTAGAGACGATGTGAGCTTTGTGACATGGTGCTGGAAGTAGCATCAGAATGGGTCCATGTGTTCATTAAGAGATGTGGTCAGCAACCATACTCAGGTAGCATTGATCTAAGCTTTCATGCTGGTGACACCAAATTCTGACCCGGCAACTGAAATCCAGACTCATCAAACCAGGAAATCATCAAGCCTTTTCTGGTCCAGTTCTGGTGATCCGGTGTGAACCGTAACCTCAGTTTCCTGTTCCAAGCGAGGTTCTTGCTAGGTTCTTCTGCTGCTGGAGTCCATCTGGAGCAGCTGGTGTGCTTCTGCAGGAACCTGACCTGATCTGAGCTTCTGTTGTCTATCATCTAGAACCCTGGAGATAGTTGCAGGTTCCAAACCCGTCTTTCGGTTCTTTTTAAAACACAGAAAAGGTTTATTTACCTGCGACGTTTCGTTTGCGGCTGCAAACATCATCAGGCCGACACCGATGGTGGCGTTGCTTCCTTCGTTTATCCGAATAACCACCGGATAAAAAGAACCGAAAGATGGAATTTGAAACTCAACACAGCAAGAACACACCAAAGAGGTTCCAAACCCAGTGAGCCAGCCTGGTACCAAACACCATGCCACGTTCAAAGTCTGTGAAATCTCATTTCTTCTCCATTCTGATGCTCAGTTTGAACTTCAGCAGGTGGTCCAGATCAGTGGTTCCCAACCTTTTTTCCTTGAGGACCTCCTTGCCTGTGTCCAAGACTAGCCAGGGCCCCAAATCAGGTGCGCAGATAGGGGGGGGGGGGGGACAGGGGGGGGGGGGGGATCTGTCCACCCCAGATTCAGATCGACCCTGATCCGTCCCCCCCCAACTAAGGCCAGAAAGTAAACAAAATCGGAGGGTAAGCGCTTGAAGCTCCTTCTTCCAATTACATTGAATGCAACATGACGTAAACAAACACCGACTCCAGAGCGTCGCTCCAGAGGCGCCAAAGTGGTTGCTGCCAGGACGCAGGATGAAGCGAAAAAGACAAGCAACGATTACTGCGTATTTAAAAAAGACCAACAGTATAAGTAGGCGGGACCGATCTGTCTGTTTATGCATGTTGGTTCTAGTTTCAGTACGTTGTTGTCAGTGTTGGGACTTACTCGTTAAAAGCGCCAAAGCCTCATTGCTGACTTTAACAAGTCTCATCTACAAATATGATCCCTCATGAAGTTACTACTTTACATCAGAAGATAGTGGAGATGTGGAACCTTCAGGCTGAGCAAATTTTGGGAGTTTTTAGAGTTTGAAAACCGCCTCCCGCTGAGAGGCTCCCAGTCGGGGAGAGGAGGAGATGCACGCAGCATGAAGAGCGCAAATATTAGATAAAACGTATAACTGCCAGCAGGTCTGGTCTTTGTTGACTGATCACTTTGTCTGGTAATGACTGACTCTGATTATGAAGCAGAATATTGACTCTGATGAAGAAATTCACTCATCCAGCCGGGAAGATTGACGCTGCTGCAGCATCAGACAGCTGGTGCTGCACGAGAGGTGTGTGGAGTTTACAAGCTCCAAACGTTGGGTCTGATGTTGGTTTAACCTTCTCTGGGATGTGATGGATGTATAAATGATGATAAAACACCGCAAACGTGACAGACGTAGCGACAGTGTAAAAAATAAGCCGTAAAAAAGAGGCAGATGCTGATGCGTTACTTATGGAAGTCAAAGTGTGCCACATAATCATAAAAGAAGTAAAATATAAGAGCTTTAAATATTTATATATAAATTAAAACTTTCCAAATATAATTAAATTTTCTAAATAAAGTAAAAATATGAAGGAACATCTGTTGGTCAGGCTGAAAAGTTTGGGAACCGCTCTAAGTGATAAGTGAATATTGTTTCTTATTATATTTTATGTGCAGTTTTTTAGGGCTTTTATGTTTTCTGTAAAGATCGGTATGCTGAAAGTCATTTCATGTTTTGCATAAAGCATGAGGTTTTGGTTAGTAATTGATTGGGAGAATAACAAATGACTGATTTAAATAGTGGGGCGCCTCTGTCAGTGCGCCCCACGGCAGCTGTGGCTACATCGTAGCTCATCACCATCAGTATGTGAATGTGTGTGAATGGATGAATGATACACTGTAGTGTAAAGCGCTTTGGAGTCCTTACTCTGAGGCGCTATTCAAGTGCGGAACATTTATTATTTATAGTGCTGATCAGGCAGAGCTTTGCTGCCAGCGTTCCGCTGCATAACGGCTTCAAACACGTATATAAATGTTAGTTTTTACGTAAACCGTTGGAGGAAATTACACAAACTGACTGAGCTCTAGTTAAGGCGCTTGCAATAGTTTGTGTGTGTGTGTGTGTGTGTGTGTGTGTGTGTGTGTGTGTGTGTGTGTGTGTGTGTTTGGGGGAGGGTACATTGGAACTTTGTCCCCCCCCCCTCCCAGTTTGAAAATCCTATCTGCGCCCCTGCCCCCAACCCCAACTCCTACCCACACACGCACAAGTTGCATTTAATTAATATCACTAAAGGTCACTACCTACATTCCATTATCTACCTTCAACAAATCACTGTAACAGGTAGTTTCTGATGAGTGTGCCTGCTTCTGAGTGCGTAAAGATGGTTTTACGTCTGTTTTGATTGCTTACATATCATATATGGGAATAGTCCTTAGTCTTTATGTCTAATTGTTTTTATCTTCTCTGCTGTTCTTTGGTGTAAAGCTAACAGTCTGTTGCTGCTGCCTGTTGGCTAGATCGTCGTTGTAAACGAGAATGAGTTCTCAATTGACTCATCTTTTTAAATAACGTTTAAATAAAATAAATAAACACATTTAAATTGATTAATACAACCGTTATACAGACATATAGAGTCATACTGAGCTTTGATTTTACCCTTGGGTGCGTTATTTAGATTCAAATATAATTTTTACAAAAATAACAAACTTGCATCCTTCACAGACCGCAGACTGGGAACCATGGTCTACTCAAGGCGGACCAATGCTGCCATCTGATTGGCTGGTTAGATATTTACTTAATGGGCAGCTGAACAAGTGCGTGTATTAATGCTGCATCTGCTCTTAAGTCAGGAAGTGAGTTTCCTCCCTTCACTGAACTTCCTAAAGTGGAGGTTTCCTGTAAAGAATCAACAAATCTACTCACGAATCACCGAGAAAGTCATGGAATTTGATTTTTCCAACGGTGGTCTCCGCCTCGAAGTCAGGAAACACGTCTCCGAGCAGCAGTCCCGGCATGGTGCGCGTTCTGATGTGGCGTTTGACAGCAGCTCAGACAGAGGAAGGCGGAAAGTTTCACTTACGAGGCGCACGCGCACAACCTCCACGGGACCACAGAAGCAACCTGAAGTTCGAATCAAGACTTCCACAGGATGGGTCGTGCCTCCTCCAGTCCACTCAAACTAAAACATTTATTATCATCATGACAAATAATGGCTACAACGTTTATAATTTAAGTAAAAAATCGCAACACGAACTGAAACTAAACTCAGAATAAAAGCATCAAATTGCTTTTGCCTGATCTGAAAACCTGAACAGAGTTCACGTGTCAACAAAACATTTTATAACCTACAAAAGGAGTTCCCACACTTTGAAATCACACCCTGGGACAGAGATGATTTAATCGGTATCCCTGGTCACGTGAGCAGATCCGGTTCCAAAGTGGAGGGACCCGTTAGGTGCGCGTCTGAGCGCAGCGGGATCCAGGAGGACACTGATCTCCGAGGACACTCAGACAGAGACATGTCCTCCTCAGCGGTTAGCAGACGGAACAGCTGCCGAGCAGTGGTGAGTGGAAGCCGGTCAGAGGGCCACCCAGCCCGCCGCCGGGCCTCCAGCTGCCCTTACTTTTCTCCTGGAGCGCAAAGCGAAGTCTTCTCCGTGAGTCTGAAGCAGCCCATCTTCACCATAACGCTCCGCTTCCTGCTGGCGGTGGACCTGTGGCTGTCCAAGAGGCTCGGAGTGTGCGCCTGCGAGGGCTCACCGTGGGGCAGCATCCGGCCTCTGGCGCGGCTGGTGGAGTTCTCCGGACATGTCATCCCGTGGCTCTCTGGGACCGTGTACTCTCTGCTCCGAGGAGAGAGCGCGGCGAAGCAGGAGGTCATGCTGAATCTGACCCTGGGTGAGACAAAGTGTCTACTCCTGGAGAGCTGCACCGGCTTCCTGCTGTCCACGTTCAATTAATTATTTACATAAGTTTTCATGTATAGTCTCGCCTGAGTAAACATGTGTGGTTCCTTAACTGAGCCACCTTATTAGAACAAAACTAGCGCGCCTTTACGCACAGTTGTGCCAAAACCAGAGTGAGACATGCAAACAGCAAGGCTATAGATTTTGTTCACAGGTCGTTTTAAACTCACGTGTCCAGCCTTTCCACTGTTGTGCTTTGGTGAAATACCAGAGCTATTCTTGGCACATGGAGCTGACTGAGGATTTAGTCAGAGTCAGCTCCAGAAAACAGCTCCTAGTGACCAAAAGCTCAGCTAAAACTGAACACAACCACCTTAAACTACCAGCACTCCGATATTTAAGTTGGACCGGTTTTGCGTTCATGTTGAGTGTACTGGTTTAGTTGCTGTGTGTTTACCAGGTAACTGATAGAAGAGGTGCATCTTTCCTCTGTTCTACCAGCAGACTAGGTCAGTGTTCCAATGACAGACACGTCTGGAGACCTAAATGATTTTCTCTGTGTTGCATGTCCCTTTCCCTCCTGAAGCTCTGATTCTGGACCTGCTGCTGGTCAGAACCGTGAAGAGGCTGGTCAAACGTAGAACTCCTGCTCAGAACCGATCGGACCTCCTCTCCTCCTTCTTTGTGGAGCGTTACTCCTTTCCCTCCGGCCATGCCTCCAGGGCGGCCTTGTGTGCCCGCTTCTTCCTGGCCCAGCTGGTGGACACGGCCTCGGTGCGGGTCCTGGTGGTGGGCTGGGCCGTCCTGGTGAGTCTGTCCCAACTGCTGCTCTCCAGAAACCATGTGACCGATGTGGGCTTCGGCCTGGCCATGGGCTACTGCCAGTACAGCCTGGTGGGAAGGCTGTGGCTGACCTGGGACTGTCTGCAGGACCTGGTGCTCATGTCTCTGAGAGAGAACCTCGACAGGGCTTATGCTGGAGTCTGGACTGTAGACCGGAAACGATAAGCGTGTGTGTTTGTGGAACATGTGTAACATGAAAAAATGGGACTTTCAAATTCCCTTTTTGCTTTATTTGGTTTTCAGCTAAAGTTTCTTCTCACCTGAATTCTTTTTTCTTTTTGCTGCTTATCTTTTACTGAGCTGAACTCATATTTTGTGCAATTCTTTTTCCTGCCAAATAAACGAAATGAACGAGTTTGCATCATGAATAGATGTAATTTAATGTCAGTTACGCGTTTTCGTGCAGTGTGAAGGCCAGGGTTGGATGTGTGGGGCTGCTTTCTCTGTGCTTTCATTCTGAGCTGTGGCTCTATATTTACGCAGGGGAAAGTCAACACACTCATCCAAGTTTCCATCAGCTGCTGCTCGGGCTCCTGACGGTCGTTATCACAGCACAACACGTCTCATCTCCTCATACAGAGCTGAGCTGCTCTCACCTGTAAAACCTGCAGCTTTAACCCTAACCCTGACCCAGACTGAAGACATGAGGGTGATGGAGAGGTCAGATCCAGACCGCGTACACGACCCAGATTCTAAATTGTGAACTGATCAAACGTTTCTGCTCAAGTGCAGATCCAGCCAGCCAGCCCTAGAGGGCAGTGTGTCACAACACAGTACGTTGTCCAGTACTGTACCCCTCATAGATTTCTTCTAATTTATGTCAAACCTAAACGTTTAATATTAGTCAAAGTCCCATTAGTTGTCACACACACTGATGTGTGTGTGAAATTTGTTCTCCGCATTTGACCCATCCCCTGGGGGAGTGGTGAGTTGCAGACACAGCCGCGCTCGGGAGACATTTGGTGGTTTCATCCCCCAATCCAACCCCTTAATGCTGAGTGTCAAGCAGGGAGGCATTGGGTCCCATTTTTTAAAGTATTTGGTTTGACCCGACTACGAATCAAATTAGAATTCATTCATCCATCTTCTGAACCCGCTTGTCCATGTAGGGTCACGCGGGGACTGGTGCCTATCTCCAGCGGTCAACGGGCAATCAGGCGGGGTACATCCTGGACAGAGAGCCAGTCCATCGCAGGGCAACACAGGACAAACAATCATGCACACACACACACACACACACACACACACACACACACCTAAGGACAATTTAGACGGACCAGTTAACCTAACAGTCATGTTTCTGGACTGTGGGAGGAAGCCCGAGTACCCGCAGAGAACCCACGCATGCACAGGGAGAACATGCAAACTCCATGCAGAAAGATCCCAGGTCGGGAAGCGAACCCAGGACCTTCTTGCTGCAAGGCAACAGCTCTAACCACTGCGCCGCCAAATTAGAATTCAAATTTGATAAAAGTAAAACAGAAGTAGGAGGAGGAGTTTAAGTATCTCGGGGGGTCTTGTTCATGAGTGAGGGAAAGATGAAGCGTGAGATCGATAGGTGGATTGGTGCTGCGTCTGCAGTGATGCGGGCGTTGCACCGGCCTGTCTTGGTGAAGAGAGAGCTGAGCCGGAAGGCAAAGCTCTCTATTTATCGGTCGATCTACGTTCCTACCCTCACCTTTGGTCACGAGCTTTGGGTAGTGACAGAAAGAACGAGATCGTGGATACAAGCGGTCCAAATGAGTTTTCTCCGCAGGGTGGCTGGGCTCTCCCTTAGAGATAGGGTGAGAAGCTCGGTCATCTAGGAGGGGCTTAGGGTAGACCCGCTGCTCCTCCACGTGGAGAGGAGCCAGTTGAGGTGGCTTGGACATCTGGTCAGGATGCCTCCTGGACGCCTCCCTGGTGAGGTTTTACGTGCGTGTCCCAAGACCCAGGACATGTCTCTCGGCTGGCCAGGGAATGCATTGGATTCCCCTGGAAGAGCCGGTCCAAGTAGCTGGGGAGAGGGAAGTCCGGGTTTCCCGGCTTAGGCTGCTGCCCCCCGCGGCTGATGGATGGTAAAATAAAAAGTGTAGTTTTAAATGATGATAATCCAAACCAACCTGGCCTCACATCAAAGCCATAACACTCTTGGTGTTTGCTATGAACACCGATGAGTCCTTTGTTACTGTGGAGGAGTTTTATCCTGCTCCTGTGAAACAGCAGAGCAGACCCAGACCATCACACTTCCACCACCCTGGCTGACTGTTGTTTTGTGTTAGTTTGACTCCAGATGCACATCCAGTAAGTTCTGCTTCTGTCTTGTCTTCCACAGATTTTTTTTTTTTAATTTCTCTAGAACAGGGTAGGATTTGTTGTGCTTTGAGATCTTTTGGCCGACTTTCTGTTGTCTGATAGTTTGGTCTGAAAAACTTGTTACCCATCTGACTAATCAGGTCTGGGTGTGGCTGAGGAACTGAACTCAGCTTTAAATAATGAAACAAAATAATAATTTTTATTTTAACTTTGTGCAATTAAATCTCAGGGACATTCATTCTCATACATTCTAAATGTACGAGAGTTGATCATAAATATTTGGTACTCATCTTTTATTGTGATGGTTGTGATGTCTCTAAGCTCCATATCAGCCATATAAAAAGTCCTCATTACTCCTCCAATAATCATCCTTTTTGAGGTTTACTTTTATTTATATATTTGAATGCTGACATTGTCTTCATGGTGGTGCAGTTTGTGCTAAAGACAGCCTGCAGTGAGCAGGTCCAGGGCTCTACATGAGGCTGAGACTGAATGTTTGGATCTGAATGTTCTCCTGCGTGGATTTCCTCTAATCACTCCAGCTTCCCCCAAGAGTCTAAAACGCCTGAATGACAGACTACCTGGCGTTTGTTAATCAGTTTACATGTTGCAGTTTGGCAGTATGTTGATGGTGGTGTTGGGTGAGGAGTATTGGTCCACTGGGATGAACTGGTGAAGGGGTACCTGCCCTTTGACCACTGGAGAAAGGCATCGGGATGGATGTATGGACATCTGTGGTTGCTGATTTTAAAGTTTGAGGTTAATAGAAACACAAAATAGGCAGTATAAAATGAGACAACATAGTTAAACACTTTAAAAGTCACATGATTACATGGTTATATAGAATGTGCTGTGGGTGATTTGGTGATGGGTCAGCTGTGGCTGTGACGGATGCAGACGGTGGCGGATCATCCACAGGGGCCGCTAGCGCGCTGCCCTCCCTGATGAGATAGGAGGAAAACATTTTTATTCCTACTTTAATTTTTCAACAGACCTGCTGACAATACAGCTCAGGTGTGGCTGAGCGGTCCAAGAGCACCAAGGGGCTCAGTGCACATCCCTGAGGGGTGCCAGTGTTTGGGAGAGATGTAACAGATTTAATGTAACAGGAGATTATGTGTTACCAACTAAATTAAAACAAGCAAAAAGAAAAAAAACTTTGTTCTTTTATGACAAAACTATCAGCGTCATCATAAGATTCCTAAAACCACCTCACTGGGTTCATTTAATTTATAAATTAAGCATAAAAATAAAGAAAAAAATCCCTACAAGCAGTCAACCCTGGTGGTTTAGTCCAGTAAACATCAGGAACTTAGCCGCTGCTGTGGCTGGTCCCGCCCAGTCTGAGGTCATAGGTCACCATGTGGAAGTTGTCCCAACTGTACTGCTTCCTTTGTGCATGGTTGTAGTCCACCATGCTGCTTTAATGGTACTTGTTCTTGAAGGGCACAGAGATGGCCCGTCCCACTCCGGTGGTGGTATCAAAGATGTAGTTGATGGTGGTGTTGGGCGTGGCGTAACTGGCCACCGTGTACAGGCGGCCACACACCAGGAACGCGTTGGCCACCGAGTTCTTCCTGATTCTGGTTTCCCAGCTCCTCCTCACCTGCAGGCTCACTGGGTCCAGCTGGGAGATGACGATGGCTCCTTTAGCTCTGGTGGTGCTGTAGATGGCCCACAGACCTTGCTCGTCCGCTGCCAGGTCGATGTCCGTATAGCCGCCCAACGAGTAAGGGTGCTGGCCAAGGTAGCTGGCATCAGGCAGGTCCAGACGGGACACCAAACGCTCAGAGGCCGGGTCGTAACGAATCAGAGTACGGCTATGTCTACGCTGGTAGTAGAGAGAGACTCGGTACAGGGCTGCTCCTGTGCTCTCCACTGGCTCTGGCAGAACCAGAACCTTCTCAGGAAAACCTCTGGAGAAATGATCCATGTCTTCATACTTGAAGAGCTGACACACATCTGTGACAACAGCATCGATGCACCACACAGTCCTGTTGGTGTAGATGGAGCTCTGAGGCGCCGGGTCCTGCAGCCACACTCCATACTTCCCAGTGATGGTTTCGGCTTTCCTGTGCATCACAGGATCTCCGACTGACACCAGCTCTCCACAGCCTGAGGAGACACAGGAGTTAAGTCACAAGCATCTGAGGAGGAGTCCCACCCTGTTGCCATAGGGTTGCCAGTGGGTGTGGAGTGTTTTTCCAAAACTCCGTCTGTGCTTTTTATGCTGTTGGTGGAAGGGGTTGTGTCGAGAGAGGCGGACATCATGAAAACCACAAATGATGAGTGGAAACTAACAAAACAAGTTGTTTTCTCCGGAGCAGAATTTCTCAGGCTGATCCGACAGACAGCAGCTCTTTATGTGTCTGTTTACTTCCTCTGCAGCAGATAATGGTCCCATTTAAACACAATTAACACAAAACAGGTTTGTGACCTCACTAAAACGACTGAAGCTACGGCTGGAGAGGAAGACCGAAGGTAGCAGCACCACCCGAATCAGGATGCTGCATCGGACGTACCGGTAGCCAGCTGGGCAGGAAGTCTAGCACAGAGGGAGTCTGACTAGGAATGTGATGATGTAATGCTGTCTTTCCTGTAAATTTAGTATTTTGTACCAAAAGCTCACCTTTAAATGATCGTAACCAAACGTTTGTTTGTTGTTGAGAAATTTAGGAGAACCTGGAAAAAAGGTGGTGACTGTTCTCAGTCAGGGTTTGGTTTGGTTGTGGAGGGAGTTTTACAGTTCAGTCAGAAAAAGGTTTAGGCCCTAAAGGGACCTTCAATATGCTCCATCTTCTGGATCATCAGGAGTTTGTTGCCCCTTTCCACTTAGTGTGAAGCTTTCCTGGGATTAGATCCAAAGCTCTTTTGTTGGTGTTTGAATCTGAAACCTCCAACTGTCTATTGTTTAATGCTGGTTTTACACTCATTTCTTTGTATTTGTGAGGAAAAGAGCAGGGGTCTCATTTATCAAACATTGCTTAGAATCCTTACTAAAACCGTACTTAAGCTCAGCAAAAAAATGTACTTACACCAAGCAGGTTAGTGATCTATCAAACATGGAGTACGCACAGCTGCACGCAATCTCCGCTTCATAAATCGGAGACTAACGAGAATGTTTCTCAGCTGCATTTTAGTCACATCCCGCCCTCACCACGCCCACTTACTGCCATAAATGGTCGATGCAAAGTGCCCTGTGGATCTCATGCGTGTACATAAGCCGGCTGTTGCAGCGCTCCGCCAATGACGATGGCAACTGTAGACCAAGGAAGTTCAAGGAAGCGCAATTTCACAGAAGCAGAAGTTGAGGTACCTGTGGGTGAGGTGGAGAAATGAAAGGAAGTGCTTTTGCAAAACAAATAAGAGAAAATCCACAGAGTGACTTAGCGTTGCTGAAGCCATCAATGTTGTGAGTTCTTCAGAGAGATCTGTGTTGGATATAAAAAATGGTCCAATCAGGATTCGATCCCCAGACTCCCAGGTGAAAGTCACACGTGCTAACCAGTCAGCCAAACAGAGATCTCCCTTGGCCAAGTAGCCAGGGCGCATGATCAATCAGGTCACAGTGACAGGACACACACACTGTCACAGACGCATGACATTCTGTCTCAGTCTGTCCCCCTGCTGATATTCTGCATTCCGTATTCTGCGCTTCAGGCTGTGTGTGTGTCTGTGCGTGCGTGTGTGTGTGTGTGTGTGTGTGTGTGTGTGTGTGCGTGCGCGCGTGTGTGTGAGCGCATGTGTGTGTACGTGTGGGGAGTCTTGTTCTGTGTATAAACGAAGCAGTACAAGTGATGATGCTGCAGGATTTCATAATTGTATCCTCAGCAGCAGCACTGCAGGTGCTCTCCATGTCCAAAATGTGTGTAAGCCAGGTCCTTAGTAAACTTAAAGTTGCACACATTTTTCTGCCAAGTTTTCTTTCATAAATCTCAAAGTTTGCGTGGAAAGTTGCTTACGCAGTTTTCCGACCCCGTTTTGTGCGTAAGCAAGCTTGATAAATGAGGCCCCTGGTCCTTCTAGTTCCTTTGTCATTTACAAAAGGTTTCACATCTCTGCTTTTCTCTTTTTCAGCTGCCAGATAAACGTTCAAGTTTATTTATATAGCGCCAAATCACGACAAGAGTTATCTCAAAGCACTTCACATAATAAAACATTCCAATACAGGTCAGGTCACTAAGCCAATCAGTTAAAAGTTTTCTATGTAAGCAACCCAGCAAATTCCATCGAGTCACTAACTAGTGTCCATGACTTTACAGCAATCCTGATACTAAGCAAGCATGCAGCGACAGTGGAGAGGAAAACTCCCTTTTAACAGGAAGATACTTCCAGAAGATCCTGGCTCAGTATAAGCAGCCATCCTCCACGACTCACTGGGCATCGAGAAGACAGAGCAGACACACACACACACGCGCACACACACACACACACACACACACACACACACACACACACACACACACACACACACACACACACACACACACACACACAAACCAACTCTTGTTTCTATAGTTATACTGTGATTTCTTAGTAAAATTCTATTTGGTGAGAGATAAACTTTATTGTATTTATCCTAGTGAATCTATAATTAAACGGGTAAACTAGTAGTAGCACATTCAATGTAAAAGAAAGCACAATGTTATTATCAGGAGATGGAGAATGTTTAAGTGGTCAGCAACAGTGTTCAAGACGATGCCCCCCTCCATGAGGCCACCACAGCTCAGCAGAACATCATTGTAGCTTCTTCTGGGGAGAAAAAACAGAAAAAATAGAGTTAACAGCTGAAACTGCAGGAAATAATACAGTTAATGAGCAGATTGTAGAAGAAAGTAGTAGAGTGTGGAAAGTGGTCAGTGTGTCCTCCAGCAGTCTAAGCCTATAGCAGCACAACTACAGAGAAAACTCTGGATAACCTAGCCTTTTAGATGGAGGCATGTTGGAGGCAGGGCAAGGGAGAGCCGTCTTTACCGACTGTACACTCCACCTCCCTCTACTCCCCCACTTGTCCAGATCTGGGCTAACATCAGATTTTAACCATAGGCCCTATCAAATAAAAATGTTTTAAGCCTAGTCTTAAAAGTAGACAAGGTGTCTGCCTCACGGACTAAAGCTTGGAGTTGGTTCCACAAGAGAGGAGCCTGATAACTAAAAGATCTGCCTCCCATCCTATTTTTAGATGTTCTGGGAACCACCAGACCTGCAGTCTGAGAGCGAAGTGCTCGGTTAGGAACGTATGGAACAATCAGATCACTGATGTATGATGGAGCTTGATTATTCAGAGCTTTATATGTGAGAAGGAGGATCTTAAAATTTATTCTGAATTTAACAGGCAGCCAATGTAGGGAAGCTAAGACAGGAGAGATATGATCTCTCTTTTTAATTCTCATTAGAACTCTAGCTGCAGCATTTTGGACAAGCTGAAGACTTTTAACTACATTCTGTGGACTTCCTGAGAGTAATGAATTACAGTAATCCAGTCTTGATGAAATAAATGCATGAACTAGTTTTTCAGCATCACTCCTGGAAAGGATGCTTCTAATCTTAGCAATATTCCGAAGGTGGAAAAAGGAAATCCTACAAACCTGTTTAATGTGGGATTTGAATGACATGCCCTCGTCAAAGATAACACCAAGGTTCCTTACTTTGTTCTCGGAGACTAAGTTAATGCCATTCAGGTCAGGTGATTGACTAAGCAATTTCCTTTTCTGAATTTCAGGTCCAAAGATGATAACTTCAGTCTTGTCTTGATTTAAAAGCAAAAAGTTTTGAGTCATCCAATTGTTTATGTCTTCAAGACAAGCCTGTAATCTACCTAACCGATTAGGTTCATCAGGGTTAATGGAAGATATAACTGAGTATCGTCAGCATAACAGTGGAAGTTTATCCCATGATGTCTAATGATATTACCAATTGGGAGCACATATATAGTAAACAGAATTGGTCCAAGCACTGAACCCTGTGGTACTCCACAAGTAACCCTGGAGTATGACGAAGATTTGTCATGTACATTTACAAAATGAAATCTGTCAGACAGGTAGGATTTAAACCAGCCTAGCACTGTTCCTTTGATCCCTACTACATGTTCAAGCCTTTCTAAAAGAACATTGTGATCAACTGTGTCAAAGGCAGCACTGAGATCTAACAAGACTAGAACAGACACAAGATTCTTATCGGAGGCCATGAGAATATCATTTGTAACTCTCACTAACGCAGTTTCAGTGCTGTGATACTCTCTAAAACCTGACTGAAATTCCTCAAACAGAGCATTGGTGTTTAAATGCTCACACACTTGGATGGCCACTATTTTCTCCAGGACTTTGGTTAAAAATGGAAGGTTAGATATTGGTCTATAATTCATTGGGTCATCTGGATCCAGAGAAGGCTTCCTAAGTGAAGGTTTGATTACAGCAATCTTAAAATCCTGTGGTACGTATCCATTTACTAAAGATAGATTGATTATATCTAGAATGGGGGCAGTAACCAAAGGAAATGCATCTTTAAATAATTTGGTTGGGATTGGATCTAAAATACAAGTTGAAGGTTTAGATGAAGCTAACATTTTTGATAACTCTGAAAGCTCAACTGGATCAAAACGGTTCAAACACAGATGAGGTTCTACAGTTACCTATGATGCTGCCTCACTTACTGAGGAAGAAGAAATCGCATTAGGGAGGATGCTAATGATTTTGTTTCTAATAGAATTAATTTTACTTGTGTAAAATCCCAGTAAGTCATTGCTGCTTAGGGCTAAGGAATACATGGTTCAGAGCTATGATTCTGTGTAAGTTTGGCAAATGTACTGAAAAGAAATTTTGGATTATTCTTATTCTCTTCAATTAGCAATGAAAGATAAGCAGTTCTAGCTTGTTGAAGCTTATTTTTTTAAGGCACAAGACTTTTTTCCAGGATTAGTAGGACTCTTCCTAGTGTGTCGAGTGCCATGTTCGCTCCAATTTTCTAGAGTTGAGTTTTAAAGTTTATAAATGAGAATTAAACCAGAATTAAGCCAACTTCCTGTCCCTAATTACCTTCTTTTTAAAAGGGGCAACATAATCTAATGCCACACGTAAAGAGGAAGTAACATTATGAACTAAAGCATGAATTTGTGAAGGGCTAGAACTGAAAATTCTAGCGGGGGGGGGGGGGGGGGGCACAAAAATAAACAATGAACAAGAGTCTGCTTCTAGACCTACAGAAAAAAAAAAAAAACAAAAAAAAGCAAAAGGACAAAAAAAAGGGACACAACAACAATACAACAAACT